ATTTTTCTACAAGATGGAAGCTTGAAGGAAACTTTTCGAGATTGATGTGTTATTAATGAAAGCAGAAAGTCGACTGCACTGTATTCCACATTAAGCGAAGTTTTGTATTTTAATTAATTTTGTTTTACTGTATTTTAGTAAAAAAATGACAATGAATTAAAACAAATTAAATAGAAAATACCAGGGTTATTCAGTAATATAAGATGTAAAAGAAATTGAAAATTTCAAAAAATATTTTCATGGTTTATATAAATATATATTGATGGTGCGAAAGGTTTGTGTAATATCTTATGTATTCACTATTCAGACAGTGAATAAGGGTGCTTTGGACAAAGAATTTTTTAAACACTGGTTATGAAACTTATTGTTGGAATAATTAGTCAATATTTTTTGAAAAAACTTAAAGCTTTTTATGCGCTTTTATATAGTAAGTATTAAGGAAATCATTTTGCTTCTCCTTACAATTCTTTAGAATATCTTCACAAATTCTGACAATGCAACGTGAAACACAGGATTAGGTCATTGAGAGCGGACGGGGTCGAAGCTTGTTTCGTATAGTGTACAGTACAGTTCATAGTTGCCTAATTGATTTCTTCGAACTTATAAAACGACAGTATTTGCAACATTAAATATATCTATATATATAACCCATTCAACGTGTCCGTCTGTCCCGTAACCGTTTGATAACGGACACTAGAGGCGCCCCTATCGTGTGTCATATTTAAAACATTCAAATTAAATTAACAATTTTAATTATTATTTAAATGAACAATATAAATTATTATTATTCATTTGGCCAATAAATTATTATTTGGTCAATATAACAATATAAATAATTCATTATATTTGTAATAGGAATTTATTATTGTCACGGAATGCCTGTAATGTTCACTAGGAGGCGAATAACGAAAAACCGGATAGATTTGAACCGCTACGATAAAACGATAAGGTTTGAAATAGTTAAGCTAATTTTTTAATATAATAATAGAAACCTTTCATGGCACGACTACAGTGGCTAGCCACTGTAGGCACGACCAAAGAAATACGCCACTGTGGAGGAACGTAAAGCTGCCGCTGCTTTAAACATGCCTCATAGGAATTTGTAATACTGCTAAAACGCCCACTAGGGAGCGTCCCGGGCTACTAGTATTAAAATGTGGCATGCAGCGTACAGTATGTCCGCCATGTTCCTTCCGTTTCGGATTTTTGCGAATGACGTTGTAATGCAAAGATTTTTGTTTCTGCAAACTTTTTCGATTTTCAGAGTCAAAAATCCAATTTTTATATTTATTAAGGTTTCAGTTTTTAAATAAAATNAATCTTACCCGTTTTCACAGAATGCAAGAATTAGGTCCCCCGTCTCCAGACTAATTACAAAATTTTTACGTTTAGTCAAACGAACAAATTTCAACGTTTCTGGAACGTTTTCAATCGTTCTATAATCGAACCAATTCGAATTTTATGTTCGAATTTAATTCGAACAAATTCGAAAAAATCGAACAAAACATTCGAAATAGAAAGCCACTTTCAACTACTTTTAGCCTCATATCTCCCGCACCCTTATAGCTATCGAGACGCAACCACCCCTATGCACGAATGTAGACTTGGGGCTACCACCACATACAAACACCATTCACGTGCGATGTGTAGTTTTGGCGAAAAAGTGAGATATAGGGACATACATGTCCATTTTTATATATAGATATAGATATAAACATTATATAAAACAGATATTGAATTTTTTTAATAAGCTAATTAAAAAAGTTAGGGAAGTAAGGCCATTTTTGAAATAATTCAGTAGCATTTTTTAAAAAATGATAGGGGGCACGTGCCTCAGTACCCCGAATCTAACTCGAGAAGCATTCATATTTTCGAAACCCTGGATACGAAACTTCCTGTTTGGCATTTCCTACAGAAATATACTTTCCAATGTTTCTCTTATCGCAGAAGTTCGTTCTTTAGTGAAAAAAGAAGACTGCTTCACAAAAATTTTTAAAGATATTTTTATTATTCATTTTAATGTACCATTTATTCCATTTATTGCTATTACGTTGTTTATTTGTCTTATTCGTGTAAAAATGTGATAAAGACGATAGCATAGGAAATACATAATAATTAATAAATTTCACTATTACGCAAATTTACATTTAAGCGAGAAGTCATGCAACTCATTAACCACTTATGAGGGTGCTATACTCCACATTTAATTATTAGAGATGGCAATACGCAAGACAGAATCTCAAAGCCACAGCGAATGTCTGTCATGGTGGAAAATACTTTTACATAACACACATTTTTAGATAGTGTATACAAATACCAGCCGCAAATATATTTGCAACAGACAGCCGGCATAATGTATCTGTTTATTCATAAATTTTGAGATAAGTCACTATATTATTTTAAAACCGATAAGAATATTGTCTAAGAATGGATAAATCAGATTACATCAATGTTCCTGCAGTGAATAAAGTTGACCCGATTAACAACAACAAAGATTTAACGTTATCGCAATATCAGAGTGGTGTTATGTTGCTATATAAACGTTCTTATCGATGTCGACACTCCATTACATAAAAATAAATTTAACTATCTTATCAGTAATTTAGTTTTTTTCTTTCTTTCTTGATAAACAGTCGCATTAACTAGACCTAAGATTTCACAGTAGCCTGAGAATTATTATTATTATTATGATTATGATTATTACTATTATTTTTTTTTAATTATTTCTCTTAAATTATATTAGAAATTTTCTGAGAATAAAACAAATGCTTTAATTTTGTTTAATTTTTTGAGAAACAATCGCTGTTAGGTTGCATTTGTTTTCTTTTCACCAATACTTAATTAATTAATCGGAACTCTACTTTTGTTTTCTTGCATTCAAAGTCAATATATTTAACATATACAAGTAATGACAATGTTAATTCAATGTAAACATAATAGAGAGCTAAACCACTCAGCCTTTATAAACTAACTTTATTAGAACTTGTCAGAACACTCTAATAAAGCATGTGCGTATCCTAAGAATTCTTCGCTAAAACATTGGTGAAAAGTAAAAAATATATACTTTATATATATATCAAATAACACGATTTCATATACAATGACTAAAACACAAAGTAAAATAAATGTATATAATAAATTCTCGTCCTTATTTTTATCTCTTTTTTACCCCTTTATCTCTTTCACCCCTTTTTTAATTTGTAATGTATATTGGTCTATCCACAAAGGATTAAAGCAGCTTTTACAAGATTTTAAATTATACAAAGTGTAACCAAAATGTACGTCTATATATCGTTTGGGTACTCATTGTTTTTTATGTAAGTTCTCTACTGTAATAGATAAAAAATATATATTTAGTTGATTGAAGATTGGGAAAGCCCGAAACGAGTACAAAACAATGTACCAAAAACCAATGATGTTTGTTACAAAAAACTAATTTAAATCTATCCATCGTATGGATTCGTTGTTTTAACACATTTAAGTTAATGTTCTATTCTAGTATTTTCTCAAATGCATTGAAATATTGACTTTTGAGTATTAATTAAAGATTTATTGTAATATTTGGCTTAATACGTATGTTTTATTAATAGAATATATTACTGTACTAGTAACTGTGCTCAAAAACAGCGGGCTTTTTGCAGTAATAAGTAAACTATAAGCATTACTACTATCAGAATTGTATTTTAATGCAAGTATAGATTTTATTTTAATAGAATAGACACTTTGGTTGAGAATTAGACTAACTCGTTATGCATTTTCTATAACTATTTTATGTAAATTTAGTCTTTGGGATTAAATGCTCATTTTATTTTCAATAATTTCACTGTTTCTTTTCAATTAATTATTCCATATAATGAACCTAATAAATATAGATAATATGAACAAGACACAAGACCCACTTTTCGTACTTTGCACGAAGTGGATTCCCTTGTAATTAAATACCTTGCAACTGTTTCATAATCAATTCCGCGGTCCACTACTACAACTTTAGTTATATTTTTTAGAATGAATTTGGTATAATTTTTTAGCAAGTGTTTTGGAATTATTGGTTCGAATATTTCATAGTCCAATTGTTTAAGGCGATCGTTTGCTTAAAATGCAGGCATAGCAGAATTGACAACCTCCCTATGGAAAGGCCACTTGACTTTGCAGTGCGTTATGTTGATTTATGGAATCACACAACTTTTAGTGATGAGAAATATAATCTGAATGGCCCTGATGAAATGCTATACTGTTTATAATATTGACATGATAAACATTACAAACTTCATCTTTTATCATGTCGTATACCAGATGGAGGACCCGTGATGGGCAGCTTTCACTTATCAGTTAAAATCAGCTATCGATTTTATTTCACCTTTTTCAAAGGCAGTTGACTATCAAGATGTGTTGTGAAATTATTTTCTACTATTAAGAGATGAAGCAATGGATGAACATTTTATTTTCCAACAGGATACTCTTTCTATTCATAATTACCCTTTAACAGTGACGTGGTTTTCTAATAATAATAGCAATGTTTTGCCATGGTCACTCGCGTAGGATGCTCAATGGTTATGTAAGCGTACGTGACAGATTATAAGTTTTTCTCATATAACCCCAAAACATAAGCAAATAGAATTTGATTGTCTGCATTTGAAAAGATCTTAAGTCTTTCGAGAAGTCTCTTCAAAGTAGCAAATTTCTGCGAAAAAAAAACCTTCAGACGTATTTTCCATTAAACCTCCTTCCCTCTACGATACAATATTTAGTGTAAATGCAGAAAACTGATCATTTATACATTACTTTTATTATTTTTAAAGTAATATACTTAACTTTATACGTGATAAATGAATTTATTCCCAAATTTTCTTAAAGAATTATTTATATTGATAAAACAATATTTAACTGTCTGGTCACAGTTTCAAATAATTAAAGTATTTATGTGCATAACGCAATAAAAAATTAACCATTAAAACTGTTAAATTTAAAATTATCTTTATTGATTTGTAATATATCCCATAATAAAATTCCAATTAGGTCACATGTAAAGTAATAAACATAATTAATTACTACATTTCCTTATATCCCGAAACTTGCAAAGCTTCGTAAGGATGTACACCCGCTCCATTTTTACTTTGAAAAAAAGATCTCAGAGCAATTGGTTCGGCCAATTTCCATAGACGGCGTTTGATGTCTGGTTCCATATTCTTAAACACGGCTTTGGGCAATATGGCCAAAAAGAAATCTGAAAATAACTTAAATGAATTAGAAATGAAATAAGTCGTTTATACGTTTCCCTTAACGAATTCTATATAGAAAGAGAGTAGCCAGAACCATTTTGGTAGCATTAATTTTATAAACTATAGAAAACACATACATTTACAGACAGATCTACAGACAAACGTTTGATGTTATACCGCTTTCTATATGTCAAGATGTTTTACTTTAAAGTTTAATCAAATATCAAACAAAAGATAAACACTTAAAATTAATCGATAGTTTTTCTTTTCGACCACTCCTATAATATGGAAAAAAATTGTATGTAGTTTTTAATCACAAGCCAGCGATAATCAGTATCTCTCTATACATGGTTTCTATGCAAGCCTGTGTGCTACATCGAGAGATTTTCAATAGATGGTATTACGTTTTGAAGTGGAAATTGTGGACTGAGCTGCACGTTTTTTGCAAGGGATGTGCGGCGACAGCTTTGATGACAAATCCCAAAGTCGCCACCAGGAGGAACCCCTGAACTGAATAGACCTGGCAACCTGACCTATGACATCACATTCCTTTTGGATTCGGACCTCGCTCCAGACGCGTGGATTATCGCTCCCGTGTTCAACTTGTACAGTCGCGCCATGTTTCATGTATATAATAAATTTTAATTTTTTTGTATGTGGTCTTGTTTGTAGTGATTAATTACGCACGAACAAGTACCCACAGGATGCTATCACCGCAAAAAATACAGAGAAGTTCCGGAACAATATCTGAGAGTTTTCCCAACTGCTACCAGTGCACGTTTCGTGTTCAAACACGACAATTTCCACACGCATAGAGATGCACTGGTCACTGACTTTATTAATAGCGAATTTATTTGTCACATATAAATGCCGACAAGAACTTCTGACTTAAATTCCATAGAACATGTAGGATATTCTAGAAAACTTGTTACAGCCCGTCTGCTTGACAGATCTTTACTCTTACCACAATATTTATGTGGTAAGAGATAACATCTATCATATCCGGAACAGAGCAAACTGATAAATTACTCAGACGTAATGAGCCAAATGGGAAAGTGTCCTAGATCGGCAGATCATTCGAGTATTATTTCGGTTATCCGGTCATTATAGACAAGAGTACTGTCACAATTTATGTTTTTAAACTGTATCTCAAACAATAGATAAAAGGAGTACTCAGTTTTAGTTTAAAGATTTGAAAGTTATAACATTCAGCGACAACACATTACTTACAATGAAAAACCAAATATGTACTGATTAATGGATACTCGAATATTTATGGAAATGATCGTTTACAGACAACCATTAGCACTACAAAAAGCAAGCAGAAATTCAGGGAGAACTATGCAGACTGCATACTTAGTTATATTGTAAACAATTCCTTGAAATACGTAACATCTTTGGGAAAAGAAGTGAAGACAACTTCATGTAAATTTGCATTACAGTAGACCTCCTATAACACTAGATAATTCCGTGTTATATGAATTCCATGTTGTACGAGTCACTTAGATTTTACAAATACTTGAGCCGTTCACAGCCCGACACACGTATTTGTAAAATCTAAGTGACTCGTACAACATGGAATTCATATAACATGAAATTATCTACAGTGTTATAGAGGGGTCTACTGTACTTACATCAAATTACGAAAGAATAAATACAAATTTAGGAATGGGCTCATAATAAGTAAGCATTTTAAATTAATTAAAAAATTACTTGCATTTGTAATTTGATAAAAATTGCAATTCAATAAAGTAACTTAAATAGTTTAAACACGTTATCTATTTTAAAATAATGACATATTTACCCAAAAACTGCTTCTTATTAACAAACGGCATACTTATATCATCGCATTTACTGTTTGTCACTCGTAATTTAAACTCGGAAACAAACTTTTTAAATTCAGTTTCTGCATCCTCCCAATTTACAGTCGGAGGAATTAAAGAAAGCAACTCCTCGGTCTGCAATTAAGTTTTATTTTCATTCATGTTGAATATAAAATTAAAGAAAAACTTCCATACCTTGATGTACTTCGACCACTCTTCGATGGCCTCCAATTCACGCATGAATGTAAACATGTGAGCTTTTGTAACAATAATAAAGAAAAAAAATCCTCCAGGTTTCAGAATCGAAGAAAGAACAGAAAATAATTTTTTGAAATCGTGTATAAGATGAAAGGTGAAAAAAGATACAATTTTATCGTATTTTCTAGTTTCTTCCAAATCCATGCTGAAAATAACAGGTAATTAATTAATTGTATTATGCAGAATTTCTAATTAAAGATACATTTTTGTACACTTAGCCATACTGAAACCAAAAGGAAATTATTATGTATTTTGTGTTGTATCATATAGAATAGGCTATAAAGAATTGTTAAAAAAAGATATAAAAAATTTAATATTTATATTATGTACAGTACTGTACTTATCACATTATATTTCACACAGGATACAAAGCAACATCTACTTTGCATTTATTTACTTAATTGGAGTATTTTCTTAAAGTTGATAAGAAACAGTAGGCTTTATAACAGCGTAAAATTTTGAAAAAGAAGCATAAATGTTGAAAATATTTATTTCGAATACTAATAAGAATAAACTTGCATTTACAGGTAAAATGGCATATTATGTTCTCTTTGGTAGTGTGAATCACACAAAATTACTTTTTTAGATCGTCAATGCTTAAATTTTATATCTTGTTATAACTAAAAATTGTTGGACTTCTTAATGGTGCCATTATAGTTCTGCGACAATCGAGCAAGTGTCTTTGCTTTATTTCTTAAACGAAGTAATACAAGAAAGAATTAATATTAATATTAACTTACCCTTTTAGGATATCTTGTGTTTTATATTCAATTTTTTCGTCAAAATAGGTCTTTCGGGCATACTCGATGCTACTAGGATCTACGTCGATAGCAACGAGTTTCTTCAATTTTGGGCATTTTGGTAAGAGAATGTCTTTGGTAACTCTTCCTGGACCACATCCAATATCTAATATAATATCGTCGTCAGACCATTCTATGTTTGAAAAGTGGAAATCCAGACACGATCTTATATAGAGATATGATATGTTTCTGGGCATTCTTTCGATATCTTTGGCTGTTCCTTCCATACTTGACTGAAATTAATACAAAAGTCGATTCAGATAAATAAAATATTTATATAGTAGAAAAAGCTTTAGCTCATCCTTAGAAATATATTTCTGATAATGTCGAGTGAATTTNAATGCAAGAATTAGGTCCCCCGTTTCCAGACTAATTAGAGAATTTTTACGTTTAGTCAAACGAACAAATTTCAACGTTTCTGGAACGTTTTCAATCGTTCTATAATCGAACCAATTCGAATTTTATGTTCGAATTTAATTCGAACAAATTCGAAAAAATCGAACAAAACATTCGAAATAGAAAGCCACTTTCAACTACTTTTAGCCTCATATCTCCCGCACCCTTATAGCTATCGAGACGCAACCACCCCTATGCACGAATGTAGACTTGGGGCTACCACCACATACAAACACCATTCACGTGCGATGTGTAGTTTTGGCGAAAAAGTGAGATATAGGGACATACATGTCCATTTTTATATATAGATATAGATATAAACATTATATAAAACAGATATTGAATTTTTTTAATAAGCTAATTAAAAAAGTTAGGGAAGTAAGGCCATTTTTGAAATAATTCAGTAGCATTTTTTAAAAAATGATAGGGGGCACGTGCCTCAGTACCCCGAATCTAACTCGAGAAGCATTCATATTTTCGAAACCCTGGATACGAAACTTCCTGTTTGGCATTTCCTACAGAAATATACTTTCCAATGTTTCTCTTATCGCAGAAGTTCGTTCTTTAGTGAAAAAAGAAGACTGCTTCACAAAAATTTTTAAAGATATTTTTATTATTAATTTTAATGTACCATTTATTCCATTTATTGCTATTACGTTGTTTATTTGTCTTATTCGTGTAAAAATGTGATAAAGACGATAGCATAGGAAATACATAATAATTAATAAATTTCACTATTACGCAAATTTACATTTAAGCGAGAAGTCATGCAACTCATTAACCACTTATGAGGGTGCTATACTCCACATTTAATTATTAGAGATGGCAATACGCAAGACAGAATCTCAAAGCCACAGCGAATGTCTGTCATGGTGGAAAATACTTTTACATAACACACATTTTTAGATAGTGTATACAAATACCAGCCGCAAATATATTTGCAACAGACAGCCGGCATAATGTATCTGTTTATTCGTAAATTTTGAGATAAGTCACTATATTATTTTAAAACCGATAAGAATATTGTCTAAGAATGGATAAATCAGATTACATCAATGTTCCTGCAGTGAATAAAGTTGACCCGATTAACAACAACAAAGATTTAACGTTATCGCAATATCAGAGTGGTGTTATGTTGCTATATAAACGTTCTTATCGATGTCGACACTCCATTACATAAAAATAAATTTAACTATCTTATCAGTAATTTAGTTTTTTTTCTTTCTTTCTTGATAAACAGTCGCATTAACTAGACCTAAGATTTCACAGTAGCCTGAGAATTATTATTATTATTATGATTATGATTATTACTATTATTTTTTTTTAATTATTTCTCTTAAATTATATTAGAAATTTTCTGAGAATAAAACAAATGCTTTAATTTTGTTTAATTTTTTGAGAAACAATCGCTGTTAGGTTGCATTTGTTTACTTTTCACCAATACTTAATTAATTAATCGGAACTCTACTTTTGTTTTCTTGCATTCAAAGTCAATATATTTAACATATACAAGTAATGACAATGTTAATTCAATGTAAACATAATAGAGAGCTAAACCACTCAGCCTTTATAAACTAACTTTATTAGAACTTGTCAGAACACTCTAATAAAGCATGTGCGTATCCTAAGAATTCTTCGCTAAAACATTGGTGAAAAGTAAAAATATATACTTTATATATATATCAAATAACACGATTTCATATACAATGACTAAAACACAAAGTAAAATAAATGTATATAATAAATTCTCGTCCTTATTTTTATCTCTTTTTTACCCCTTTATCTCTTTCACCCCTTTTTTAATTTGTAATGTATATTGGTCTATCCACAAAGGATTAAAGCAGCTTTTACAAGATTTTAAATTATACAAAGTGTAACCAAAATGTACGTCTATATATCGTTTGGGCACTCATTGTTTTTTATGTAAGTTCTCTACTGTAATAGATAAAAAATATATATTTAGTTGACTGAAGATTGGGAAAGCCCGAAACGAGTACAAAACAATGTACCAAAAACCAATGATGTTTGTTACAAAAAACTAATTTAAATCTATCCATCGTATGGATTCGTTGTTTTAACACATTTAAGTTAATGTTCTATTCTAGTATTTTCTCAAATGCATTGAAATATTGACTTNGGCACACGTATTTGTAAAATCTAAGTGACTCGTACAACATGGAATTCATATAACATGAAATTATCTACAGTGTTATAGAGGGGTCTACTGTACTTACATCAAATTACGAAAGAATAAATACAAATTTAGGAATGGGCTCATAATAAGTAAGCATTTTAAATTAATTAAAAAATTACTTGCATTTGTAATTTGATAAAAATTGCAATTCAATAAAGTAACTTAAATAGTTTAAACACGTTATCTATTTTAAAATAATGACATATTTACCCAAAAACTGCTTCTTATTAACAAACGGCATACTTATATCATCGCATTTACTGTTTGTCACTCGTAATTTAAACTCGGAAACAAACTTTTTAAATTCAGTTTCTGCATCCTCCCAATTTACAGTCGGAGGAATTAAAGAAAGCAACTCCTCGGTCTGCAATTAAGTTTTATTTTCATTCATGTTGAATATAAAATTAAAGAAAAACTTCCATACCTTGATGTACTTCGACCACTCTTCGATGGCCTCCAATTCACGCATGAATGTAAACATGTGAGCTTTTGTAACAATAATAAAGAAAAAAAATCCTCCAGGTTTCAGAATCGAAGAAAGAACAGAAAATAATTTTTTGAAATCGTGTATAAGATGAAAGGTGAAAAAAGATACAATTTTATCGTATTTTCTAGTTTCTTCCAAATCCATGCTGAAAATAACAGGTAATTAATTAATTGTATTATGCAGAATTTCTAATTAAAGATACATTTTTGTACACTTAGCCATACTGAAACCAAAAGGAAATTATTATGTATTTTGTGTTGTATCATATAGAATAGGCTATAAAGAATTGTTAAAAAAAGATATAAAAAATTTAATATTTATATTATGTACAGTACTGTACTTATCACATTATATTTCACACAGGATACAAAGCAACATCTACTTTGCATTTATTTACTTAATTGGAGTATTTTCTTAAAGTTGATAAGAAACAGTAGGCTTTATAACAGCGTAAAATTTTGAAAAAGAAGCATAAATGTTGAAAATATTTATTTCGAATACTAATAAGAATAAACTTGCATTTACAGGTAAAATGTCATATTATGTTCTCTTTGGTAGTGTGAATCACACAAAATTACTTTTTTAGATCGTCAATGCTTAAATTTTATATCTTGTTATAACTAAAAATTGTTGGACTTCTTAATGGTGCCATTATAGTTCTGCGACAATCGAGCAAGTGTCTTTGCTTTATTTCTTAAACGAAGTAATACAAGAAAGAATTAATATTAATATTAACTTACCCTTTTAGGATATCTTGTGTTTTATATTCAATTTTTTCGTCAAAATAGGTCTTTCGGGCATACTCGATGCTACTAGGATCTACGTCGATAGCAACGAGTTTCTTCAATTTTGGGCATTTTGGTAAGAGAATGTCTTTGGTAACTCTTCCTGGACCACATCCAATATCTAATATAATATCGTCGTCAGACCATTCTATGTTTGAAAAGTGGAAATCCAGACACGATCTTATATAGAGATATGATATGTTTCTGGGCATTCTTTCGATATCTTTGGCTGTTCCTTCCATACTTGACTGAAATTAATACAAAAGTCGATTCAGATAAATAAAATATTTATATAGTAGAAAAAGCTTTAGCTCATCCTTAGAAATATATTTCTGATAATGTCGAGTGAATTTTTACGACTGCCTATCAAGAGAAAAAGAAATTACTGATAAAAACGTTTTATTTATTTATTTATTTCTTTTTATATAATATAAAAGCTTTTTATATAATATAAAAGATAGGAGAGATTGTGTGGCAATATTTTTTAATCTTCAAAAGCGTATTGTGACTTATCTAAGAATATCTCTGAAAATATCTGAATGATTAGACATATGATACAGATCCATTCGAGTTTCGTGTTTTTTTACACTGTATATACGCCTACAGAGATCTTTGTCCCTGACCGATATGAGATGTCGGTCAGGGACAAAGGTTATCTCTTTAAGCTTCTTTATCATCTGTATTAGTAGCTATACTAATTTTGTAAATGATAGTAAGACATACGTTTCAAGACTTCTGTTTAAAACTGTAATTCACGTAAAATAGTGACTTTTTATTAGTTATTAAGTCTTTCAAGTTCTAACGTACCGTTCACGATTTTTCAAGCGAATTATGCAAATAAACACTTTCTTGTCAGTAAATAGCATAATAGTGTGAATCAAACTTCTTCTTTCTTTACTAAATGTAAAATTTTAATTTATTTCCTTTAAATTAAGAATTTTAAGGCCTTCTTTGATCCGTCAAAGCTACTTTTGCGTTTGTTGCAGTTTGAAAGTAATTAGGGTGTATGTAATACAGAAAAGCATTAATCACGACGAAGTGTTACAAGTGAGAATGCTGAACAAAGGCTGATGTCAGTCTAATATTTAATGCTAAACGGAAAAAAAGTGAGGCCTAAATTAATTATTTATTTGATGAGTTTCTGAACGGTCGAGGTTCGAAGTAACATTTAGGCAGTGGCGTACCGTGGGTGTCAGCTGCCTGGGGCGGAGTAAAATTTCGCCCCCTTCTTATTTAGTTATTTCAATTTAAAAGACCAAAAAACAGTTTTGTCACAGAACAAGCAATGAAATTCCGTGCTAGTGCAGCGACCTGTTTAAAATAGTTCTATTGGATATTAGTGGTGTATATGAACGCGAATGAATCGTACAAGCAAAAAAAGGTCAACAGGTTTCGCGGGATTTCCTCGGATTAAAAATTACTAGTTTATCCGGACGGCGAGCCTATTCCCGGACTGTCCGGAC